GATTTAATGGGTGCTTCCCCTCCAACTGTTGATCTCATGGCATTGCAGGGCAATACCAGAGACCATTTAAATGTCTGCTTGTGACGTGGGCCGTAGTGAGTGATGCCTGGATCCATGGTTTTCCAGGGGGGAAGCATGAGGACAACTTTCAGAAGACCTGGCTTAGAGTTGTGGCTCTTTCATAAACTAGAAATATGATCTTAGTTCAGTGACTCTCATCACTGAGCTTTTGAACCCTCATCAGCACAAGATAGACAGAAACGTCTTTGTTCAATGCACATGGATTTTGTGAGGTTCACAAAGCACTATGGAAACCAAGAAGATCTGCATGAAAGTATTTATTAATATTACTGTCACCAGCTTCCTCAAGCATTATCATCTGCACACTAATACAGGTACTGTCAATTACCCTGAGGCATGTATCCATATCCATCCTTCTCCTTGTCCTTATATCTCTTTCTTTTTTCTTTCTCTAATCCCAAAACTGAGAGATTTAGCACATAAATTAACATAAATATAGTTCTCTTCAAAATACCACCAATTCTTTTGCAATATATTATATCCCATATAATAAAAGCCTAAAATACTAAATAACTGACCATTCAACCAGTCGCTATGACAGCATTGACCACCAGGGGGTAGAAACTCTGACCTGTAGATTAGTTTGCTACAGGGGTCTGGCCAACTGAGATTGGGTGAGACAGGCCTCCCCTTGGTCCCTCCCCTACCCTGATCATGAACTGGTGGGGTCCCTCAGCCTGGCCTCCACCTTCTCACAATCTAGAACCCCTCAGGGGATGTTGGAAAGCTGGTTTCAGCCGGATTCCACAGACCAGGACAAGGTGTCTCACTGCTGCACAAATCCATGCACCAGGCCTCTGGTGTAAGTTCCACATACACACACAGTTAAACACTTTAATATTCCTTGAATATCTGAAATGCTACTATATCAACATTCTCAAAAAGATTTTCTTAATCTTAACAAATTACAGGTTTATGAATTCTTCAACACAGATCTTGGACATTTCATTACCTGGACATTCATCTCTGACCTATGAAAATCCCCTGTTTCAACAAGTAAACAAAGAGCAGTGATCTGATTTAAGCCTAAAAGAGCTAACAAGAACTTTGTTAGGTTTACTGAAAGGTAGTTTGTTGTTCTCCAAGGTCTCACCTTCCTGAAAGATTTTTCAAGGACATATTTATAATAGATGATTTCAGAAGTGAACCTAATCCCCACATTAGATGGACCTCTAGACCTTTCTGGGGTGTACAGCATCAGTGCCTTTCACTTTCAGGGCAGATTGCTGTCTTTTTACCTGACCATTGGCTGCCACAGATGAGGTTTAAGACAAAAAAGTGGGTGCTAGAGCTGCCCTGCCACTTTGGATCTAAGAGTGAGGACTGGCCTTGGTTCCTGGCTCTGGGACTTTTATCTAACTCACCTTCTAAATATTGGAGAAAACACCCATCCCAGGAATGTGAAGATAATGCATAGGACAAAAATCCCATGGGCCACACAACAATACGCAGATATTAGCTTTTATACTAGTAAAGGAACAAAGAGAAAAGTTTCCTCTATTTCTTTAAGAGGATTGTCAGTAAGAAGGGAACATTTCTGCCTTATAAAGCCTTGCTTATAACAATATTTTTCAAGGAACTCAGCTCAGATGGTGCAGGAAACACATTATGGTCTACTGTGGTATGCAAATTCACTGCTCCGCACACAGGAATACAAATCTAATCATGATTCCTCAAGTCTCGCAGTTTATGATTATGTCTCCTTTTCTTCATTCTTTTTCATTTTTGTCTTGTCTTTTTTTTTTCTCTTCTTCTTGTCTTTTTCCTTACCCTCCTTTTCCTCTTCTTTTAAATTGCTCTAAGATGTAGGAAAATTAAAGCAGCTCATCTCAAGTACAGGGATTTATTTCTTTCATTAAAAAAACAAAACAAAACAACCTTAATGAGTTAAAGGCCAAGTTCCTCAGAATGTCTCAACATAACAAAAGATCATTGTTGTAAGGCATGAAGGTAAGTTTTCCATCAGTAAGGAAAAATTGAAAAGAAAAGAAAAGAAAAAAAAAGCCAGTGAAAAGTGAACAGTCCTCACTTAACAATTATTCAGTCTTTGGAAATTTCCAAGCCCTCTGCAATCATTAATTCATTAATTAGAGAAGATGATGTTCCACATTACCTAAGATAGAAGTGTGACATAAAGAGGTCTAGAGGCTTTCCTCAAGCTGAAAGAGGAATGTCACAGGAGGAACTGGGGTTAGACGTGGGCGCTCATTTTTCCAGCCAGTAGTCACAAAACTAAGCTAAGCAGAGTCAATACCGGAACAATAAGGTCTTCTGTGCACAGGTGCCATTGAATAGGAGCAGTGTTCTGCTCAAAGACTAACTGTGAAAGAGCCCACCCCCTCTGTCACTAGTGCCCCCACAACACAGAATATATCTGTAGCCTCATCAGCCTCCTTCTTCTATCCTCAAACATAGACAGATGGCTAAATATCAACCTCTAACCACACTCCTTAATAATCGCGGAGAAAAGTACATGATTTGATTTCACATTTTTAAAATGCACAATGTAATGTTCAAACACATGACACTGTTGAAAAACAAATATTTAAACAAAAAAATTAAATGACATGGGATTCACTGATATCCAGAAACCATAATAGATTATTCTGAATAATTACAAAAAGAAAGAGAATAAATTTGCATGCTTTGTGGTGAGTGGTTAATGAAAGTTCATTCCATCACCCTGAGTAGTTTGACCAAGTCCAAATGCTAGTGATGTGGTTGGACCCAGCATCTTAGATCCAGGCCATGCACTGGGTGTTGATTCTTTTCTTGCACCACTGATTGGTTCCAATGCTGAATGAAGAAGGGCTTTCCATAGTGTCCAGTGACATGATGGGAAAACAGGAAACTCAAAGACTAGCTTACCACTTCTCACAAGATTATTCCCTCCAGATAGACATATGTTTTTTCTGTCTCAAGTCTGCTTCCCCCAGGTGAGGGTGATAGGATCCTAAAACAACTTTGGGCTTATCACTTTCCATTAAGACCATCACTCAGTTATCTGAAGTCAGGTTGCTTTGGATGGAGACAAAACTGCATTTATGCTGTTTTGTGCTTAAAGTTTAGTGTCAATGATCCCAACTAAACTTTACTCTCCCATAGGGGAATTTATTGCAGTTGCACTAATGTGAGATAAAGTTGAATAATGCAATTGTTTTCTGGCCTGCTTGATCTGGGGACTAGGAAGGACTAATGTCAATACACTGTAACGCTAACAAAGGGCAAGGCTATCTAGGTTGGCTATTATGGAGAAATTTTATTTAAAAACCAAGCATACAAACAAACTTTCTAACATGAATTTTCATACAGGGATTTTAGGAGGGAAAATTTTTTCCAAGAGCAATGTTTCCAAAAACACTTAAAATTTAAACTAGAAAACTTTAAAGTTGGAAAATGATCATGGCTGGACCACTTTCATGTAGAGTATTCATATAAAGAATGCACTTTTGGAGAAGGGTTCTTTTCTTCTAAGGAGCCTAGAATTTATTTTGGAGTACCATTAGAAGAGCACATAGTTTCGTTTGAAAATAGTGTTTTTAATAACACACTCTTGGGAGAACAAGGACTTGACACTTCTGCTATAATGTTGAAATGCGAATGAATATGTCTGTAAAGTGACTATGTAAAATGCGTTAAAGATTAAAAATATATAGATAGTCCTTCAACCTAAGTTGCCCCCAAATTGCCATTCAGCTTCTAACTATTTCTGATTTCTCACAGCTGTTAATGAAAGCAAAAAAGCTGCTGTTCCAACCAAATAGCTAAAAGCTAGCTTGATTTCTCCATCTCACTTCTTCCAAGTAATTCTCCTTGGTTCCTCTAGTAATGGTAAAAGGACATACCATCATGCTGGTTCAGGTAATCTTGGAAAATCAAAATTGTATGTGAGTAGATATATGTAATATCATACCTTACCTATTCAGAGGAATTTAATATGTTTACTTAAAAGACATACATGCTTGCAAGTAAATAAAACAATGGAAAAATAACTGTCATAAATATATTCTTTTAATTGCCTAATAGAGTTAAAGGCTAGAGAGTAAGATTCTTCTTGCAGGATCTTTAATGTGGATAGACAAGTGGTGATGAACAAGTGCCATTATACTGCAGCAACCTCTTCCCAAAGGAAATTAGACAAGGTGTCTGCATTACCTTAGATCCCCTTGGCTCACCTGTCTCCTGGGCTGTTGACCACTTGTTGTTTCTTAGTAGCCACTTTGGTACCAACTTTGCTTGAGTTCTGATCAAGGACTCATAAACCCAACCTGACAGCAGCTTACCTCATGTTTACCCTGCATACTCCTCATCTCTAAACCTGTTGATTGATGCCCTGTCCCTTTAATACATGGGGTGCTATATATTTGTTTGGTGCCACTTAAATGATGTCTAAGTATGAGGAAGTTTCTGACTCACAGAGAAGCTTAGTTCAAGAGGAGACAAGAGCTAGAAGATAAATTATTTCCCCCTTTTGCCACCATAAAAAGATTACCCTGATTTGATAGAGTTCATATGATCTTTTGGAAGATGATTTTTCAAGATTGAAAAAGTAGATGCAATAGGTACTAAACAAGAGTCATTTTGGTAACATAAACCCATATCCCCACTAAGATCTCCTTTTTCTACTTCACTCATGCTTCTCCTACTTCACTCTTGGACCCAGCATCTTAGATCCAGGCCATGCACTGGGTGTTGATTCTTTTCCTGCACTACTGGATTGGTTCCAATGTTGAACCAATATATAGATATATAGATAGTCCTTCAACCTATGTTGCCCAAAACGTACCATTCAGCTTCTAACTACTGTAGTTTCAAATGATATTAAAAGACCACATACATCTTTTGCCTCTGCTTTCTGGGAAAGGCTGGCTAACGTAGGCGGCCCTTTATTTCTGTCAGTATGTCAATGAGTATCTTACCTTTGGCTGCATTGGTGGTGCACAGGGGGCTGGAACAGGATCTGTGATATAGGTCTTCTTGGGACCAGCAACTGGATACATGCCAGTAGGGTGCTGGTTTCCTGTCCCAGAGGGAGTGTATCCTTGTTCCCGTTTCCAGGTATTGGGGTGACCTTGTTGACCATAGGCAGGATCAGAGTCATTTTTGCCCCCATACACAGGCCCTGCTGGGTTATAGGCTTCATAATAGTGCCCTTGATTAGGGCCATACCCATATCCAGACTCAGGTTGAAGGCCTGGGGGTGGATTATATGTATAATCCATGCCTCCCCGTGTTGGAGGAGGTGGACCTTGACCAGAAACAGGAACTGCTTGAAGGTTATAGCCCTGGTGCCCTGACCCTGGGCCGTAAAATTGTCCTGGTGAAGGGACAGCCATGTAATGAGAGCTGGGCTGGGCTGATTTCACCTGCACGTTGAAGGTAGGCCTTGAAGGGGTGGATGCTGTAGTGTATGAGGCTGGAACTGGCTGTGGCTGGGGTTTTAGTGTCCCTATTGGAGCCACAGGGATGGGCCCACCCTGAAGTGCTGGCTGAGGTTTCAATGTAGACTTTTTGGTTGCTGTTAGAGGAGGTTGGTTTGGTATGACCATTCTCTTATGTCCAGTGACAGGGGTGGAGACTGGAGGAGAGGCTGTTGTACTGGCAGAGCCCTGAAAAGGGAAAGAAAGAAAAAAAGAAAAACATCAACAGACATTATTGCCAACGGAAAATTTAAAAAAAATATATATTAAAAACTTCCAATTATTATTTTTGTATTAACTGCACAAAATACAAATACAGCATGGCTCTTAACTTCTAAGAGTTTAGAGACTAACACAAAATCAGCTGCATTTTTGTGAACTACCAATGGAAAATCAGTAAAAGAAGTCAAGGAAACAATTGCATTTACAAGAACATCAAGATAAAAATATTTAGGAATAAACTTAACCAAAGAAGTAAAAGATGTAATTTTATATTGAAAAGTACAAAATGTTGCTTAAATAAATTAAAGAAGACACAGATAAATAGAAAGCCACCTGAGATCATGAGTTGAAAGACTTCAATATAGTTAAAATGCTAATACTTCCTAGAGTGGTCTACAGATTTATTGCTATAAATACTTTTCAAAATCCCAAAGGTGCCTATTTTGCAAACAAAAAAAAAAAAAAAAAAAAAAAAAAAGTCCATCCTAAAATTCATATGCAATCACAAGAACTCTTGACAAATGAAAACAAAATTGAAGATTTCAAACTGCCCAATATCAAAACTTATTATAAAATTTTAATAATCAAAATAGTGTGCTAGTAGCATAAAGACAGATATATAAACCAATGAAATAGAATAGCGAATCCAGAAATAAACATTTGAATGCATGTTAAATTTATTTTTTACAAAAATGCCAAGACCATAAAATGGGAAGAAAATAGTCCCTTTAATAAATATTGTGGGAATAATTGGCTATACACATGCAAAAGGAAGAAACTGGATCCTTACTTTATACCATATACAAAAGTTAATCTAAAATTTTAGCACTAAACATAACAGTGCAAACTATCATATTCTTAAAAGAAAATATAGAGGGGTAGCTTCGTTACATTAGATTTGGCAATGTTTTTGTTTTTATTAAATATGTACAACACAAAAAACACTAAAAACAAAAGAAAATATATTGGACACTGTGACCTTAATCAAATTACCGCAAAACTTAGTCACCCTAGTGCTAAAGGAAAGTAGTAGAGAAAGAAAGCTGGAGGACTGGGCAATGGAAACCTAAATAAATAGATAAATAAATAAATAAATAAATAAATAAATGCAAAGAGGGTGTTGAGAACAACAAACATTCTGGCACAACCAAGGAGATGCTAAATTTTAGATCAAAGAGTAATTTACCATAGAAAACTGAAATGCAGCCTTGCCCTCTTATATCTTCCCAATGCCTGTTGAATTCATTCCTTCAACTCATAAATAATTACTATACAACTGAATTTTACTCGGACATAAAAAAGACTGAAAGCTTAACATTTGCAACAAATAGATGGACCTAGAGGGTATCATGCTAAGTGAAAGAAGTCCGTCAGAAAAAGACTAATATCATATGATTCCAATTATAGTTGGAATCTAAAGTACAAAATAAATAAGCAGGACAGAAATAGACAAATAGATACAGAGAACAAATTGATAAATGGCAGATGGGAAGGGGTTTGTGTTACCAGGTATAAAAGGTAAAGGGATTAAGAAGTACAGAGTACAGACTTGTAGTTATAAAATAGTCATGGGGAAATAAAGTACAGCATAGAGAATTCTATCTAATAAAGAGAGAATATGCTAATTGACTGCCATGCCCACAAAGATGGTGGTGCCCACAGCAACAAGATGGTGGTGCTCAGTACCGTCAACCCCACCAGCGTGGCTGCCTCTAAAGCTCCCAAGTCCCTTCAACCTTCAGCCACCCAGGAGTGGCCCAAGGTGCAGACCAGGCACCAATGGTGGCTGCCCAGTTGCCCAGGGCTGGCCCAAGGCACAGGTAACCAGGACCAGCCTAGGCTTGCACTGCCAGCAGTGGCAGCAACAGAGTTATGAAGGGGGGATCACCTTCCCCTGTCCCAAGGGCTCCCAGACTGTGAGAGGGGGCAGGCTGGGCTGAAAGACCCCCCTCCAATGCATGAATTTTTATGTACAAGGCCTCTAGTATAACCAATAACATTGTAGCAATTATATGTGGTGCCAGGTGGGTAACAAGACTTATGGGGTGAGACACTTTGTTAAGTTATGTGAATGTTAAACCATGATGCTGTATACTTTTTAAAAAAATATATATATATTATTGATTATTTTACAGAGAGGAAAGAAGAAGGATAGAGAGTCAGAAACAATGATGAGAGAGAAACATAGAACAGCTGCCTCCTGCACACTCCTCACTGGGGATGTGCCTGCAACCAAGGTATGCCTCTAACCAGAACTGAATCTGGGACCTTTGATTCCGCAGGCCAATGCTCTATCCACTGAGCCAAACTGATTAGGGTAGATGCTGTATACTTGAAACTAATATAATATTCAATGTTAACTATAATTGAAAAAATAAAATATAATCTTATGTTATCACAAAATTAAAAACAAAAGAAATATTGACTGTCCTAATGACACAAAAATGAACTTCCCTTCCTTCTGAACCTTGGAAGACTAAAATTATGATGGGAGATAAGTCAAGGTTAGGGAAAGCTTGGAGATCCAAACATTTGCCCTCAGGTATTATTCTACTAGGAATCTGCAAATATGCAAATGATGCAATGTTTTAATTTTGCTCTGAGATACTAAGATTAGATTTGTTGATATAACAAATAAGTGTACACACTCTTGTTGCTTATTAATTTACATGCAAATTCTAGTATGTAGAGGAAGAGAAGATGCAACACTTGATATTACTCTATTGTTATTTACTCACATCAAACCTCAAGAGATAATAGACACATGGAAAAGATGCTGCTAATTGCTTCCTAATCATATACATTTCCCCTTTTTTTAAAAAAATATACATTTTATTGATTTTTTACAGAGAGGAAGGGAGAGGGATAGAGAGCTAGAAACATCAATGAGAGAGAAACATTGACCAGCTGCCTCTTGTACACCCCCTACTGGGGATGTGCCCACAATCAATGTACATGCCCTTGACCAGAATCGAACCTGGGACCTTTCAGTCCGCAGACCGACGCTCTATCCACTGAGCCAAACCAGTTTCGGCCACTTCCCTTCTTTATTATTCAAGAATTTCAATTTTTTTCAGGGCAGCAACATACGCACTTAAATATATAGCCCAATACTGTTTTGTCCATAGATAGAAGCTGTCATGTGACATACTCTGGCCAATGAGATGTGCCCTAAACATTTTTGAGAAAACTTGGACTCTCCTGACATAAGCATCATTCCTTCCCACTTTTCTCTTTCCCCCTTTTTGCCTGGAATGTGGATGCCATGCTGTAAATGGTGCAACTATCTTGCTCCCACCATCATATATAAAAGTCTATAGACTCAGATATTTAGTGTTTGGGGAAGAGCTTTTCTAAGATTTAGGTTGATTCCGAGATAAAGATTAAAACATTCCCAAGGCCATTGGTTTACATTTCACTTCTAAGTGGTTGTCAACTAGAGAAAAACTAACTACTGGCCAGGGAAACCTTAGAAATGAATCATTCCTTTTTTTTTTTTTTTTTTTTTAATCACAGTGACTAGGGCATGTTATTATCATTAGATGATTGGAGGACAAAACACATCATTGTCAAACCCCAGAAAGCAATACTGCCCCTGTTAACATTGATAGACTCTTGGGACACATATCATCTGGCAAGTTAACTGTGAGGTTCCCAATTGCCCGGAAGGGTCACTGTCCTCTCTAAAAATTACCCTCTACACAGTGGTTCTCAACCTTTCTAATGCCACAACCTTTTAATACAGCTCCTCATGTTGTGGTGACCCCCAACCATAAAATTATTTTTGTTGCTACTTCATAACTGTTATTTTGCTACTATTAATGAGTCATAATATAAATATCTGTGTTTTCCAATGGTTTTAGGTTCTACAGCAGCGGTTCTCAACCAGTGGGTTATACATATATTTACATTACGATTCATTAACAGTAGCAAAATTACAAGTATGAAATAACAATGAAAATAATTTTATGGTTGGGTGTTACCACAGCATGAGGAACTGTATTAAAGGGCTGTGGCATTAGAAAAGTTGAGAATCACTGCTCTACAACAATCTCTCTTTCCTGGTCTAAATAACTGCTCTCTGCCCTGGTCCCCTTGAGCCTAGAGAAGATGACCACTCTGACTCTGCTAACCCCAGATCACCAGGCTGTCCCTGTTACTTCTCTGTGCTTCTATTTATAGGCTGCCTTTATAAATTAACTCCCAGAGAGAAGCTAGATTCAATGTGACATTATTTTTTATGGGATCCTGACTGTTACAGATATCATTCCCACATATTTGCACAGTTGCTGTTTCCTAGGGATTTTGCAAATCTAGATTTAGTTCTGTTAAGTTGCAGGAGGCAGTTGAATAGAGTTATATGCTTCCCCCTTTTCAATATTAACCTTTGAAGGGAAATACTTGCAATTCACATTTGTAATTTAAGCAACCTGGATATTATTATCTAGGTAGAGAGAACTTTACCTTCTCCATAAAGATGGTCGCAATAGTGCACAATGGAAAGAATTGCAGTTTTCTCATTAAAAAATATTTAAATGTATACCCAGAGAAAACTCTAAAATCAATATTCAGTTAAGAGGGTCAGGATTTTCTAGTCAACCATGTTAGTCTTTAAAAAAATGTCAGCATAAAAGACTTGAATGAAATGGAAGAAATCAAGTTTTTCTTTGATGACTCAAGATCAGCAGAAATTTTGAGTTCCTGTTTGGAACACTTAAAAAACCCAACTATAAATGGAGATGGTGACTGAGCAACAAGACTAGTGACAGGCACTCTCTGCTGCAGCTGTAAGAAGTCAGCCCCCAAAACAGATGCCCCAGAAGTGACAGATTTTGAAAATGAAAATCAATCAACTTCATAAAGTCAATAACAACAAAGATATGATTTGTGTAGAACTGAAACTTTAGAAGCAACTTTTTCACAAATATCTTTTTCTCTCTTGGTGAATACATATACACTGGGTTACA